TCAAGAGGCTTTCATTCAGGCCTGGGGGAAAATGACAGAGATATCCACCTGAAAATTTAGTAAGTAGATGATAAAAACTGGTGTCATGAGCCCCTGTGTAAGAGGGACTGCCAGATAGTTAACAGAGAAACAATAGATGGCATGATGAGAAGAACCCTTAAAGCAAATATATATAGCTTATTTTTAATTTGGAGACATGGGGGGGGGGGGGGGGTTTTTTTAGAGAGTTCAGTCAATGACACAGCCAGATAATCTTTTGCAACTGTGTTCTGAATAGATAAAAGCAAGGCAAGATTGTATTTAGCAAGGTCAGGGAGAAGAATTTTTTTATAGGAATAAAACCAAGTTGTTAGGAATCAGGGAAAGTTCTTTAGAGGGACAAAAATCCCTATCAGATATGACACGGGAAGATCAGAAAATAGATATCACAAGCAACAGCTTCAATTTTGGCAAGTTACCCAAATACCTTAGTAATAACTAAATTAAACTTTTTTTTTTTCCTCCCTCAGTCTTTTTCTAGCTCTTTCCCAGGCCAGACAAAGATGCTGGTACAAAAAGGAGTCACTCATGCACCAGGAGGTGAAGCAACCCCCTTCCTCACTGACAAAAGCATTCCTGGTTTAAGACAGCAGGCAGTTCTGTAAGCTTTTTAGATGGTGTCATTCATAGGGAGGGACCTCTGCTGATTTGCATTCCAATTATTTGGCAATTACCCAAGCAATTTTATTCCACAGATACCTACTGGATGGAGCAGTTACACTGCATCTGACAGCTCACTTTCAGCTGCTTATTGTCTCTTAGCTTATTGATACTACATGCTCAGGTTAACATAAACTAGCAGCTTTATATTTCTCTAGATCTGCACAAGACGTTATTAGATATTCTTTTTTAGTCACTGCTTGTCACATTGCTGACTATTCTTAATTTATATGTCTTCAAGCATTTACCTTAGAAAGGAAAAAAAAAAAAAGAGATACTTGGCTGCATTACAAAAGTCATACAGGGGCTCAGGAAGAACACCACCAGCAAGAACAAAACACACCACACATGCCTGTATCTAGTTTATTAACTTTTTCAGAACTTTATTTTTACTGATTGTTGTCATATTTGCAGTTTCCTCTTTTCCTGTTGTATTAAAATACCTTCCTGAAAAACACTTTTTGGTTTTTCACTAGTTCAACTAACCATTAGACAAAAAGTCACTTTTGAAATTACTTTGCTGTGGCAGGTTGACCCTGGCTGGAGGC